ACCCAAGATCCAAGCCCCTGTGCGCTCTATGCCTGCTCTGCTGCTCGGTCCACTGCCCTTGTTGTTGTTCTCCTTGTTGCTCTACCTGTTGTCGCCGCTGCAGCAGCTGCCCCTGCCCCTGCCCCTGCCCCTGCCCCTGTCCTTGTACCTGTACCTGCCCCTGTCCCTGTCCCAGTGCGTGCATGTGTGGTGGCAGCAGCAGTGCAGCCGGTAGGTTCGGGCATGGCCGTGATGAGACAGGGGCTACAGGAGGAGGAGGAACAGCAGAGGGTAGCAGCAGCAGCTGTGGCCGCACAGCCTGCACCGTCTGCTGTTGCTGCTGCTGCTGCTGCTGCTGCTGCTGCTGCTGCTGCTGCTGCTGCTGCTGCTGCTGCTGCTGCTGCTGCTGCTGCTGCTGCTGCTGAAGATGATGGCTCTGCACATGTGCATCTGGAGCAGCAGGCCTGGGCCAAGCCGGCTGACGAGAGTCCAACAAACCACCGCCCACCACCACTTGCGCTCCTACCCCCACTGCCTCGTAACGTCCTGCTGCTGCTGCTGTTGATGGTGGCGGCACGAGTCCGTCCAACGCCCCTGTGGAGGTATTGCTTTGAAGCGCCAGCTCGTACCCCACCCCTGCCTGGTGCCCTGCACTTGACCCTGGCACCATCACCACTGGCACTCCTTCTCCTGCTCCTGCTTGTCCCCGGGTAGCAGCAGGGGCAGCGGCAGGGGCAGTGGCAGGAGCATCAGCTGCCGCTGCAGCAGGGGTGAAAACAGTGGTTGCAGCAGCAAGAGCAGCAGCAGAGGGTGCAGCAGGAGGAGAAGCAGCAGCAGCAGCAGCAGCAGGAGGTAGGCGCAGGTGCATGGAATGACCGCTAATGCCACCTCCTCCAGGGTCACACCCTCCACTGCTCCTGCTTTCATGCACCCCCATCACCTCACCTCTCCTTAACCTAGGTGCGTTTTGAGTCGACTCAAAAAGCACCCCCATCACCTCATCTCTCCTTAACCTACCATCATTCACAATCTCCTCTCCTTCGCCAATCCTCTTGCAAACTCCACTCACCTGCATGTTGCTTAGTCTACCCTTCACCCCCTCACCCTCCCCTTCTCTCTCACTCGCTCCACCTCTCTCCCTAGTGTCCACGCGCTCACTAGACACACACTGGTCCGCGTGTGAGGACTCGAAGCACACCGTTTCTACATCAGACGCCGTCTCCTCCTCATCTTCCTCCTCTTCCAAATCCTCTTCCTCATTCTCCTCCTCCTCCTCCTCCTCCTCCTCCTCCTCCTCCTCCTCTTCCTTCCCATCCCTCACATGCTCCTCATCCTCCACCCGCCCAATCCCCTCACTTCCCTCACTCAACCGGCCACCACCCTCATCAACCCCTTCCTCTTGCCTGTCTCCCTGCCTCCACAGTCCTTCCAAGCACCACGTGTCAGGCTCTCCTCCTGCTCCTGCTCCTGTTCCTGCTCCTGCTCCTACTCTTCTCCGATCAGTAACACGCCTAGCCTTCACCAGACCTGTCTGATTTGCTGCAGCTGCATCAATGACTGAAACAGCAGCAGTAGTTGCGCCACTGCTCCCCACCCCGCTCCCATGCCTCCTTGCACTTGCTTTGAGATTCCACAACCGCGGCTGCGACCACTGCTGCTGTTCCAGTTGCTCCTGCTCCAGCTCCTGTTGCTGCTGCTGCTGCTGCTGCGCAAGTGGCACAGCAGCTTGCATCATTGCACCCTCCGCGGCTCTAGCATCCTGCATTGATGCACACCCTTCCACACGCACAAGAGGAGGCAACATACCAACAGCAACACCACGGCAAGAAGCAGCCGCTGTCGCTGCCGCAGCAGCAGCGGCGGCGGCAGCGGCGGCGGCGGCAGCAGCAGCAGAGGTGGTCGGAACACCCATAAGTCCACGCCTCACATCCCCCCCTGCGATGCCAACCTCTACAGAAGCGAAGCCAGGCATAAATTGCTGCTTACCGTGCCTATCCCCATGCCCCCGTCTCCTCTGCTTGCTGCTCCTGCCGCTCCAGCTCCTGTCCTCCGCTTCCTCTGCACACCCTGCCATCCTCGCTGCATCTCTCTTCCTCCTGCCACCCCTAACAGCAACAGCGGCGGCAGGGGCAGCAGCAGCAGCGGCGGCAGAAGGGACAGGCACGGAAACATTGTGTGCTGTCTTGAGTGGCGTTTCCTCCCCAATGTTTCCTACTGCCACTGAACCACCACCACTGTGTCGCACAGACGCCGCAGCAGCAGCTGCTGCAGCTGCCACTGCTGCAGCGGCCAGTGACAGGGCTGGCGAGGTAGCTACAGGCACCTCAACCGGACCACCAACCGGTGCAGTAGCAGTAGCAGTAGCAGTGCCAGTGCCAGTGCCAGCAGCAGCGCCAGACGCCGTGGGCACGGCAGCAGCAGTAGCAGTAGCAGCAGCAGAGGCGGCGGTGGCGGCGGCGGCAATAGCTTCTCTCTTGGTGTCTAGATGGAGCAGCTTTGCGAATGCAGACAGGCTTCCAGCAGCAGCAGTATCAGCTTCCCCAAGAGCGGCAGCAAACATGCTGCCACTACCTCCTGATGGCGCCACAGCAGCAGCAGCAGCAGCAGCAGCAGCAGCAGCAGTAGTGGCAGCATCGTCACCAGCAGTGCTAATTGCAGAGGCATTCCTTTTCCAGCGAGCACCAACACTACTGCCTGTACCCACACCCTCTATTCCACCACCACCACCAACACCAATACCACCACCACTAACACCAACACCAGCAGCAGCAGCACAGAAAGCCTCCCTCTCCACACCCTCTTGCCCCTCCCTCTCCCTTGCACCGGCACTCTTCCTGTGACTCCTCTGCCTCTTTCTCCGCCCTGATCCATTCACATTCAGCTCCTGCTGCTGCCGCCTGTCCCTCTCCCATCCGTGCCCCACCTTGTCCCACTGCTGCTCTCCTGCTCTCGTCTCCACTCCTCTACTGCCCTTCGTCCCTCTGCTGCCTTTTGTCCCTCTACTGCCCCTCTTCTCAGTTTTGCCATCCCGCCTGATACCCCTCATCCTCGCGCTCCTGCACCTGATGTTTCCTTCTCCTGCCTCGTCCTGCTGCCTGATGGTGCCTATGTCGCCTTATGAAATCGGGCAGCTTGAAGGTTTTTAATCTCACGGGCAGGAGGGCCAATGGAAGAAGCAGATTGGCGGTCTATGGGGAACGGAACAGACAGAAAAAATCCCAGCACAGGCCGGCGGGGAGAATGGGACAGGGAAACATCAATAGTGGCAACAAGGAAACAATTAAGCACGCAGTTGACTGAACCAACTCACAACTCACACAACAAAGGACGCAACAGACAACAACATGCCTGGAGGCAAGAGAGAGAGCGAAAAAGAAGGAACGGTCGCTCACCCCTCACCTCGTCATCCCGTGCAATCAATGCCCCACTTACAGTGATTTCTTTGCCCTTATCAGCTTCGCAAGCCCTGGCAGTAGCAGCAGCAGGGGCAGAAGTAGTGGCAGGGGGGCTGGAGGGTGGGGTAAGTGTGGTTGTGGAGGCACGAGCGCATGGCTGGATGGCAGGAGCGACTGGTGGGAGCGAGGAATGAAGTTGTGGAGAGGACGGGCGAGGAGAGGAAGGTGGTTCTGCTGCCACCAGGCGCGGTGCTGCAGTAGGTTTTGACCATTCTTCTGCTTCCACGGATCCTGCTGCTGCTGCTGTTGCTTTTCCAGCTGACGCTGATGCTTCTACTGCTTCTTCAGGTGTTAGAAAGTGTACTGCTACAGGCAGTGCTGCTGCTTTAGCTGTTATTGGAGGACCTGCTGCTACTGGTGATGGTGGTGGTGCTGCTGCTGCTGCAGCTACTGTCAATGG